TTCTTAGGATGGCCATCATTTCCCTTCTCAGGATGGCCATCATTTCCCTGCTTAGGATGACCATCATTTCCCTGCTTAGAATGACCATCATTTCACTGCTTAGAATGGCCATCATTTCCCTGCTTAGAATGACCATCATTTCCCTGCTTAGAATGACCATCATTTCCCTGCTTAGAATGACCATCATTTACCTGTTTAGGATGATCATCATTTCCCTGCTTAGGATGCCACCATTTCCCTGCTTAGGATGATCATCATTTCCCTGCTTAGGATGACCATCATTTCCCTGCTTCGGATGGCCACCATTTCCTTGTTTAGAATGGCCATCATTTCTCTGCTTAGGATGGCCATCATTTCTCTGCTTAGGATGGCCACCATTTCTTTGCTTAGTATGGCCACCATTTTCCTGCTTAGGATTACTATCATTTCCCTGCTTAGGATGGCCATCATTTCCCTGCTTAGGAAGACCATCATTTCCCTGCTTAGGAAGACCATCATTTCCCTGCTTAGGATGATCATCATTTCCCTGCTTAGGATGGCCACCATTTTCCTGCTTTGGATGACTATCATTTCCCTGCTTAGGATGGCCATCATTTCCCTGCTTAGGATGGCCATCATTTCCCTGCTTAGGAAGACCATCATTTCCCTGTTTAGAATGGCCATCATTTCCCTGCTTAGGATGATCATCATTTCCCTGCTTAGGATGACCATCATTTCCCTGCTTAGGATGGCCACCATTTCTTTGTTTAGAATGGCCACCATTTCCCTGCTTAGTATGGCCACCATTTTCCTGCTTAGGATGACTATCATTTCCCTGCTTAGGATGGCCATCATTTCCCTGCTTAGATTGGCCATCATTTCCCTTCTTAGAATGGCCATCATTTCCCTGCTTAGGATGGCCATCATTTCCCTGCTTAGTATGGCCATCATTTCCCTGCTTAGGATGGCCATCATTTTCCTGCGTAAGATGGCCATCATTTCCCTGCTTAGGATGGCCACCATTTCCATGCTTAGTATGGCCATCATTTCCCTGCTTAGTATGGCCATCATTTCCCTGCTTAGGATGGCCATCATTTCCCTGCTTAGGATGGCCATCATTTCTCTACATAGGATGGCCATCATTTCCCGGTTTAGGATGCCATCATTTCCCTGCTTAGAATGGCCATCATTTCTCTGCATAGGATGGCCATCATTTGTCTGCTTAGGATGCCATCATTTCTTTGCATAGGATGACCATCATTTCCCTTTGTAAGATGGCCATCATTTCTCTGCATAGGATGGCCATCATTTCCCTGCTTAGGATGACCATCAATTCCCTTCTTAGGATGGCCATCATTTCCCTGCTTAGGATGGCCATCATTTCCCTGCTTAGGATGGCCATCATTTCCCTGCTTAGGATGGCCATCATTTCCCTGCTTAGGATGGCCATCATTTCCCTGCTTAGAATGGCCATCATTTCCCTTCTTAGGATGGCCATCATTTCCCTGCTTAGGATGGCCATCATTTCCTTGCTTGGGATGGCCATCATTTTCCTTCTTAGGATGGCCATCATTTCTCTGCTTAGGATGGCCATCATTTCCCTTCTTAGAATGGCCATCACTTCCCTTCTTAGAATGGCCATCACTTCCCTTCTTCGAATGGCCATCATTTCCCTTCTTAGGATGGCCATCATTTCCCTGCTTATGATGGCCATCATTTCCTTGCTTAGAATGGCCATCATTTCCCTTCTTAGAATGGCCATCATTTCCCTTCTTAGAATGGCCATCATTTCCCTTTTCAGGATGGCCATCATTTCCCTGCTGAGGATGCCATCATTTCTTTGCTTAGGATGCCATCATTTCCCTGCTTAAGATGGCCATCATTTCCCTTCTTAGGA